TGATTTTTTTATTTATTGTAGAGATGAGGTCTCACTGCCCAGGCGGGTCTCGAACCTGCGGGCTCAGGCAATCCACTCGCCTCAGCCTCCCAAAGGCGCGGGATTACAGGCTGAGCCACCAAGCCCGGCTCCTTTTGATTCATTTATTTGTAGTAGCTTGGCCAGCACTACCACCTACAACCATGCAGGTTGGATACTGCCACATCTTAGGGGGTCCCATTTACAAAGAAAACATTGTATACATTTGTACATTAATTTCCTTTTTTTGCACTTTTTATTTCAAAGATGTGAGGTACAATTTGAGATTAGGTGTACAATTTGTACATTAATTTCTTTTTTTATGATTATAAAGATGTGGGGTACAATTCAGGATTAGGTATACAAACGTTGATTACGCAGGTACCCATGTACATTAATTCCAACAAATTAAAAAATAAAGTATGTGGCTCTCACAAAGCAGCTTCTCTGAGCAGCAGAAGCAAAGTGGCCTGAATCCACCAAAAAACATCCTATGGACTAGGCATGGCAGCGGGCCTGGCCTCATAGACATTTGGGTTTTGGCCCCTGCTCTGAAGCGACCGTGACTGTCACTCCCTCAGTGACACCATCCGAGTGAATGGAACAGCCTCAGACCCCCTGCCACTTGCTCCTCTGGCCTCCACGTCCTGCTCTGCCCTGACGCCCGCGCGCAGTAGCTCACTCATGACTGCTCTCCCCTCCATCTCTCCCTCTAGAACATCGACACGCTGGAGCGAGTGGCGGGGCTGGGGCCCGAGGACCTGGTGGGGGCCCCCGGCACCTTCCACACATCGCACTGCATCAGTCCCTTCTGCCGGCATGAGTACACGCTTGGCTGGATGAAAGGTGAGGCTGGAGGGTGAGCACCGAGGGCGGGCCTCCCACTCGCTGCCTCCTGAGGACCGGGAGCAATGATTCACGCGGTGGGCACCAGCGCGGTCCCGTTCAGCACTCTGCCTCTCTTCAGTGGATGGTGGCGGTCCCCAAAGACATGGCGTGGCAGTGGCCATTGACTGCTCCCCATGCCACCTCACCACCAGGTCATCAGAGGGCAAGCCCAGACCACAGTCAGTCACACAGAGATAGGCCCTGGCCCGGCATGCGGCCTGTTTGGGGGGTCATGACCCCTCGCTCTGTGTCCCTTCAGGGGCTCTGACCCCATATGGCCTGTTCTGGGCACCATGACCCCCTCGCTCTGTGTCCTTTAAGGACTCTGACCCCATATGGCCTGTTCTGGAGGTCATGACCCGCTCACTCTGTGTCCTTTCAGGGCTCTGACCCTATATGGCCTGTTCTCAGGATCATGACCCCCTAACTCTGTGTGCCTTCAGGGACTCTGACCCCACATGGGGGGGTTCTGAGGGTCATGACCCTCTCACCCTGTGTCCTTTCAGGGCTCTGACCCCATGTGGCCTGTCCTGGGGATCATACTGCCCTTGCTCTGTGTCCTTTCAGGGCTCTGACCCCACACAGCCTGTTCTGAGGGTCATGACCTCCTTGCTCTGTGTCCCTTCAGGGGCTCTGACCATGTGACCTGTTCTAGGGGGTCATGACCACCTTGCTTTGTGTCCTTTCAGGACTCTGACCCCATGCGGCCTGTTCTGGGGGCCATGGCCCCTTCACTCTGTGTCCTTTCAGGGCTCAGACCCCATGTGGCCTGTTCTGGGAAGTCACGTCACCCAGATCTGTGTCCTTTTGGGTCCTCTGACCTCACCATGCATGCAAAGTTCACAAAGCTGACGCTCACTTCAGGCCTCACACCCTTGGAGAAATGAGAGGTTCAGCAACTCTGCTGCCACTCAGGTTGCTGATTCAGGGGCAGAGGAATGGGGTCCTTCTTTCTGGCCCATCGAGGTAGACTCAGCTGCCTTCCAAGAAGAGCATCTCTGACCTACAGAACTTTCCAAGATGAGGGAAAGTCCCACATCTGCACCATCCAGTGTGGCCACCACTTGTGGCTTTTGAGCACTTGATATGTGGCTAGTGCCACTGAAGAATAGAATCCATAATTCTGTTTCATGTTGATTGGTGTAAATTGTAAGAGTCACGTTTGGCTTGGACTGCCATATTGGATGGCACCCACAGAACCTCTGGGCATGAAGCTGGACACAGGGAGAGACAAGGGCAGGGGTGGTCCCTAGAGCAGACTGCAGGACCTACTGGGGGCAGAGGCCACACTCATGTAAGGACACAGCGTCCAGGAAAAGAAAGCACCAATCCACAGATCTCGAAAGCCAGAGAGAGCCTGCTTCTGACTCTCTATTGTGCTGAGCCTCTGGTGTCCATGTGAGGTAAGGGCAGCTGTGGCATTCGCAGCGTGGCCTTTCTGACCACATGCCAGCTGGCCGCCCCTGGACTGAGGATGCCTGAATAGCCCCACTGCACGCAGCTGGGGCAGCGTCTCTTTACAACTGTGTCACACGTGTCACCCACAGTAGCATGCTGTCCCCGCAGAAGTAGTCTAAAGTATCTTACAGACACTGCAACAATGTTTGTTGAATGAATGAATGAATAGTTGCAGGAATGCGTTCAAATTCTGTGGGTTGCAAGTGACAGAAGTGCTTTCAGGCTTCCTAAATCGACAAGCAATGAGGAGGGTGAGGGGAATCTGTCACAGAACCTGGAGGTGGGAGGCAGCTGGGTCTGAAATTTTGTCCCCGTCCCAGCGTTGTCTGCATGTTCTTCCCTTTCTCTCTGCCATCAGGCCTGGGAATCACCAGGCCTCCTCTGACCCAGGGGAAGAGCTTCAACCTGGGTCAGATTCCCTGGGTGGGGAGTGGGTAGCATGCAATCGCCCCTCCTTGGGACAAGTGTCTGCTCATTCATTTATTCATTTATTCTTTCACTCTCCAACTGTCGGCAGTGGTGGTACTGGGAGCCTGCCTTGGTAACCTGGGGGTGGAGGGGGACCGTTTTCTAAGAAGGGTGGTCTTTAGCCAGGTGCAATGGTTCACGCCTATAATCCCAGCACTTTGGGAAGCGGAGGTGAGAGGATTGCCTGAGCTCAGGAGTTCGAGACCAGCCTGAGCAACATGGTGAGACCTCATCTCTACAATAAATCAAAAAGTTAGCCGGGCATGGTGGCACATGCCTGTGGTTCCAAGCTACTTGGAAGGCTGGGGCAGAAGGATCGCCTGAGCCCAGCGGGTTAAGGCTATGGTGGCTGTGAGAGTGCCACTGCCCTCCAACCTGGGAACATAGTGAGACACTGACTCAAAAAAGTAAAAAAAAGAAGGGAGGTCTTTTCTGAGCGGGGCGGACACCCCAGGAGCTGCTGCAGTCACTGAGGTGTGTTTATACTGACTGTGGAAGAAAAGGTGGGGAACTACACCCCAGACCCCAGTCCAGAGCCTCACCCTGCCCTCTCTCTCGCTCCCCCTTCTCCCGCCCAGAGAAGATCTTCACCCAGGTGATCCCCAAGTGTGAGAAATGCCAGAGCTTGGTCAAGCCAGGTGAGCCTTGGGGACAGGTGGGATTTAGGTGGGAACTCTCCTCCCCTGACCCCTC